TAGGTAGGAGACTATATAATACTTTAAGGATATTCCTTCTATCTTATTCATTATTCTACTATATACCTAATATTGTAAACAGTGCTATATTTCAATATCTCTTTATAATATAAGAACTACTCTCGAGTATACTTAATATAACTCTTTTAACTATTAAGAAGCTAACTATATACCTTCTTATAAACCGTCTCTCTTTAATCCTATCACCTATATACCCCATTATATATATATATATATTAGACCTATTAAGGATATACTACTTATAGGGTAGATAGCCTATTAAATAGGTAGGAGAGTAAAGTACTAAGTTAAATTATTATAGAGACTATTTCTTAAGGAAGAGAAATCCTACTTCCTTAAGTATTAATTTAAATATAATAGTTTTAGTATAAATAATAATTAAATACGAATCGAGGGGGAAACCATAGCGAAAGGCCACCGTATAGCTAATATATAGTATATACTATAAACATAGGCTATATATAGTATAGCTATCTCGAATCGCTACTAAGGGGTTACTAGTTAACCGCCGGTTAGCTACCGCCTTAGTAGAATCCTTAGCCCGTAGATATCTAAGGCTCTAATATTAAAATATAAATAATCTTACTAAATACTATAATAATAATCCCCCCTTAAAAGGCTCTCTCGTCCTCGAGAGAAAAATAATATATAAAAGGGTAAATAAACGCCCGAAAGGGACGTATAGGCTAAAATAGAAATAAATATAGTAGTAAATATAGTAAATATATAAATAAATAAAGATAGTATTAAGAGTATACTACTTTATAGGGTAGAAGGCCTCTTAACTAGGTAGGAGAGGAAAGTACTAAGTTAGGTTAAGATAAAGACTATTTTTTAAGGAGTTCGAATCCTACTCCTTAAGTATTAATTTAAATATAATATCTTTTATATAAATAGGAAATAAATATAAAGTAAGGGAGAAACTACAGCGAAAGGCTACCGTATAGCTAACGTATAGTATATACTATAGATGTAGCCTATATATAGCGTGGTTATCGTATATCGCGGCCGAGTGGTTACCGGCTAACCGCCGGATAGCTACCGCCTTAGTAGAACCCTTAGTCTATATATACCTAAGGCCCCTAATATCGATATATAAATAGCCTTATCGAAATACTATAATAATTATCCCTCCTCTAAGGACTCTATCGCCCTCGAGAGAAATCGATATATAAAAAATAAATAAATATCCTAAAGGGGTATATAAGTTAAGATTAAAATAAATATAGTAAATATATAGATAAGTAAATAAAGATAGTATATTTTCTTTATTAATATTAGTAATACTTCTCTCTCCTTACTCCGTATCCTTCTCCTTCTTCTATCCTTTTCTCCTTTTAAAATTTCTATAATAACGCCGTGATTACTCCTTAAATTAGTTAAGAAAGCCCTTTAAATATATTAAGATACCCTACTAAGCCTATCGGCGTACTTAGGTAACTTATATAGTATATTAGAAACCGAAGGTTTTTTAGTATATATACTATCTACGGACTTTATATAAGTCCTTTAACCTAACTCTAGATGCTTCTTCCTAGATTAACTATATTTTAGACGCTAAGGCTTTAATTATATATTAAAATATTCTAGTAAGAACTCGATCTATATTCCTATATATTTCGCTAACTTTCCTTTAATACTAAAGCTAATCTTCGGTAGACTCTAACTATTATACTAGGAGACGCCTAGGATCTCTCGGAGATTATCTTATAGGTAAAGAAGATCTTCTATAATAATATAACTAACAAAAATAGGTTTATAGAGGACTAGCCCTTTCTAGAGATAGTTCGATAGAAAATCGGCGTATATTTAGTAAATCTTAGTTACTACTTTAATAATACTAAGTAGATAGTCTATAAAGAATTTAACTAGGCTAGTAATAGTAAGACTAAGAACTTAATAAATATAAGTCCTTTTTCCTAGTACTTACTTCGGTAATATTTAACTAGGATTTTAGTAGGAAAACTCTACTAAATTATAGATAGCTATTATTATATATTATACTAATCTTTTATATATTCCTTCTTTAGTTAATCTAACCGTCGCCGCGCTATACGCCTATCGCTTATAGTAGCTTCTCTATATTCTATCTAGAGATAAAAGCTTTATTACTTAGTTATAGGGGAAACTAGCTTTTATCGCTACTATTTTAAGAGTAGTTTATAAGATCCAGAAGGATCTTCTATAGAGGATAGGAGATTAGGATCTTAGGGATAAGACTACTATAAACCCTAATATATTAGTAGATCTACTAATATAGTCCTTTCCTATTATTACTAAGAAGATCTAGGTATTATATCTTTTTATTATAGATTCTATTAGATTTCTTTATTATTTCCTTATTCTTTTAGGGACCTATTTATATTAAGATATTTTCTTAGTAGAACTTAGCTAGGGCCTATCCTTAAGTTATTTTTCTATAGAGGATCGCTTTTCGCTTTACTATTATTTCAGTAGGGTTTTAGTAATAGTCCTTTAAATTAAATATATTCCTTCCTTTTTCTTTTCCTTATAAAATCTTATCTTTTCTTTCTTATCTTAGTCCTCCGATTAAGAATTACTAATATATCTTAATAGAGAAAATTATTATACTAGATATAAAGTTCTAAAGGGTATTTAATAGTAGTTCTAACTATAGTATATTAAGTAATACTTAATAAAGATCTATCTTTAAGACGCTTTATAGCGGAGGGATTATCTTATTTTAGCCGCTATTTTAGTAACCTTTTATTACTTATCTTTTAGATTTAACCTACTTTTTCCTTTTCTTCTTTTTTAATAAATCTATATAGCTTTTATAATATTACTTATATCTTAGGAAATCTATTAATTATATTTAGAGGGCTAACCCTTTTATTTTACTAGAAAAAAAGTTTCGCTATTAATAATTCTATCTTCGCGAATCTCTTCTATTTTATATTTATTATTATTCTTAAGATCGGGTATTAATAGGAATTTATAATTAGTTCTATTTAGTTTCCGCTATAGTTTAAAAAGAGATATATAAAAGATATTATAGATTTAGTTATACTATCGGGATAAATTTAGGCGATAAGTTTATTTACTAATAGCCTATAGGATTCGGAAAGATCTAATAAAGCGAGGAGCTAGTTTCTTACTTTCTTTTAATCTTAGATTCTTAGTTAATAATCTTATAGGATTATCTTTTTTAAACTATATTAATTAGTAGTCTTTATTATAATATTTTACTATTAATTTATTAGCTTTTCGCTAGTTCTCCTATAATCTCCTTTAGAGTACTTCGAGCTTTTGAATTTATATAGATATCGCTAAGATCTCTTCTAAGACTGATTAGCCCTTAAATTAGTATTAGAAGCTAGATAAGTAAGTAAGGCCTAAAAAGGCGAGAACTATATTATTAAGTTAATTATATTATTATAAGCGAATTCTACTAATCTAAATAGATTTAGCTATAATATTTATTCTTTAATAATAAAATAATAAAGATAATACTCTAAGTTTTAGTTAATCTACTTTATTTAGCTATTAGTTTATAGATAAAATATAGTTAAAAGCCTAAGATATATTTTAGATATATAATAAAGACTAAATTAGAATTTACTAGTAAAGACTAGTCCTTAGTCAGAAATAATATCCTTAGGCGGTTTAAAATATAACTCTACTAAATTATAGAATAATTCGGTAAGTTCTATAATAGTAATTATAGTAAATATAATAAAGAGTAGTAACTATTTTATAAATCTATTAATAATTATAAGGATTAAATCTATCTCTTTACCCTAATAAAATACTAGTAGTTAACTAGTAATAAAATCTATTAAGAGTTTAGTAAAAGGCTATAATAGAATTAATAATAATTAAAGCTCTTTATAAGGCTTATATCTTTTTATAATAATATCTTAGTATATCTAGTAATCCTATATATATTTAGTAATATCTTAGTCTAGATTCGGCTAGTAATATTTCCTTTTTATTAATTTAAAGATTTAAGAATAACTAAAGTAGCTAATAAGGGAATTATTATAATAAATACTTAATAATCTTATTCTAAGATTACTTTCTATAGGAATATAGATTTATTCTTTAAATATTAGTAAGATATTATATCTTACTAATTAGTCCTTAAATCTATAGTTTACCTATATTATAATAGTCTTTTAGCGCTAAGTCTCTAGGTCTCCGTCCTAGAGTTACTTAATAAGCTTCTTAAGCTCTAAACTTAAGTTATATAAATAGACTATCTTAGAGGTATAAATAGGCTATATCTATACTTTAGAAAGACGGCGACTTCGGCTAAGCTCTTCCTAATTAACTATTAATAAGGTTCCTAGTATATCCGATCGGGTCCGACAGGATAGGATCCACATAGGATCTTTAGGATGACTAGTCAAGATAGAAGTTCTTCTTCTTACGAATAGGACGAAGCAGATCAGATAGATCGTCCTCTATTATATAAGATCTTCTCTAAGTATAAGAGGGTCAAACGAGATTTATAAGATAGATTAAAGAGAGTATTAATTCTAAAGGAAAGTATCTTAAGTCTAAACTACTAAACTAGTGAACGAATGGATATTTAAGTATATAATTAGGATAGTTTAGATAGTTAAATCTAGACTAAATGTCACGGGCCAGTGCCCGATATAGGTCACGTGTATCACGAGACCTTGGCATGTTGACGTGGAGAACGCGCAGGATAAACTTCCCCTCCTTAAGCTTTTTGTAAACAGCATGTTGGCCTAGTTAGATTGAATCAAGTCTTGCTTCAGCCCTTCACACTAAATCGTTGATCTAATCGATGATCCGATTATATATCGATAATCTAATAAATCGATGGATTAGGAAGTTATTAGATATTAGTATCCGTAGCTAGAATAGCCGATTTCTTATGTAAAACTCTCTATTAACGTAATTCCCGCTTACCCTGGCCACCCGCTTACCCTAGCCACCCCATCCAAAATCGCGTCTTCCTACTCACGTACCAACTTTAACCACCTATAATGCCACCAATTCGCTCTGAATCCTGGCTAAAATCCGCCAAACAAGAGGGCAAAATCCTATTAGCCCTTTCCGATTTAAAAGATGACCGTATCAAATCTATCCGTGCGGCAGCGAAGCTATACGAAATACCACGCGCTACACTACAAACACGCGCTCATGGTGTAGTCTCTATAGCAGAGAGACGCCACCCACGCCATAAACTGACCCAATTAGAAGAGAATTCGCTTTGTGAGTGGATTCTTTCTATGGATGCGCGTGGAGCAGCGCCTAGGCCGGCTACTGTAGGAGAGATGGCCAATATCCTACTAGCTGCGCGTGGTAGCCAACCTCCGCCTACCGTTGGTAAGAATTGGCCATCAAAGTTTATTGAACGACGCGATGAGCTTCGAACACGATTCTCAGTACGATACGACTACCAGCGCGCATTAAACGAAGACCCAAAAGCCCTACGAGCCTGGTTTGCGACCGTACAAAGCGTGATTGACGAGAACGGGATACAACCGGAGGATATCTACAACTTTGATGAGACAGGCTTTGCAATGGGCCTTATATCTTCGCAGAAGGTAGTAACGCGAGCGGAATTCTACGGTCGAAGACGTCTCCTACAGCCAGGAAATCGCGAATGGGTTACTGCAATCGAAGCAATTTGCGCAGATGGCTATTCGCTACCGCCATGTATAATCTTCAAAGGCAAAGTGGCTATGGCGGATTGGTTCAAAAATCTACCACAAGACTGGCGATTCGAGGTCTCTGATAATGGCTAGACTACCGATAAGATTGGCCTACGTTAGCTACAAAAGCTCTTTATCCCATCAACAAATTCGCGCGTACGCGGCCGGTTTCGGCTATTAATCCTTGATGGCCATGGTAGCCATCTTACGCCCCAATTCGACCGAATCTGCGCAGAAAACGATATTATCCCTCTTTGTATGCCTGCGCATTCATCGCATCTATTACAACCACTAGATGTTGGCTGTTTTGCAGTGGTTAAACGCGCGTACGGTCGCTTCGTAAGCGATCTTGCGCGTACGGGATATAACCATATCGACAAGTGCGATTTCTTAGAGAACTACTAACACGCGCGGCTAGAGGCCTTCCAAAAGCTAGCTATTATTCAGAATAGCTTCGCAGCTAGTGGCCTAGTACCAGTCGATGCAGAGAGAGTGCTTTCGAAACTTAATATCTCTCTCCGAACGCCTACACCACCAAGCAGCCGGCCAAGCAGCAGATCTAGCCAATTCACGCCAAAAACGCCGAGAACCGTCGTTCAGCTACAAAAGCAAGCTTCGATGCTTAAAGATCTGCTAAAGCAGCGGTCAAATAGCCCTCCGAGCCCATCAAAAAATATATTAGATCGCATTATCAAGGGCCACTACGAAGCGCTGCATAACACTGCAATACTTGCGCAGGAGAACGCGAATCTCCGCGTAGCGAATGAGAAGATCGTTAAGAAGCGTAATAGGTCAACTAAGCAGATACCCTGCGAAGAGGGTTTGACCGTCGAAGAGGGCCTACAGCTAGTTGAACAGCTAAACCAGCCGGTAGAAGATGATAGGATGGTATCGCATGGGTAGAGCGAATTGCCTAGTCAGGCAAATGCACCACCTACTAGGGCCCCGCCTAGGTGTAGTGGTTGCAGGGAGATTGGCCACAGGATTAATACATGTAAAAATCGCTATATTTAGTTGAATTAATCGGTGTTGGTTGAGTTAATCGAATTTGAATTTTTCTAATGGGGGTAGGTGGCTAGGGTAAGCGGGTGGCCAGGGTAAGCGGGAATTACGTTAAAGAGATATAGTTTTTCCCCGGAGAAAGAATAGGAAAAACGATAGTCCGGTCCGGGCCGTTAGCTAGCGGGCCGTACGGTTAACTAACTTTATATAGCTACACACGCTTATATAGGCTAACACACCCCCGTAGGTCTTTAGATCGATAGGCCTAATAGATCTAACTAGATTAGATAGGTCCTAAAAGGTCCCGAAAGGTCCTAATAAGATCTAATAAGCTAGAGTAGTAAGAATTCTATACTAATCTATTTAATAAAAGCCTTATATTTTAGCGGCTAAGCGCTTTAGTTAAACTATTAGTAGATAGATATTACGAATCTCTCACGTAATAACGCTAATGCGGGGGGAAAGGAACACTGATGGCTAATTAACTTAGATTAGTCAGTAAGGATCAGGATTAGATAACGTTATAAGGCATAATTCCTACGTTACTAGGAAGCCTAACGATCACGTGATAAGAACTAGGAACGTTATATCTAAGATATAACGTAACCTATCCGTGATATACTTAGAAACTATCTACGATATAACGGGAACTACCTACGGTAGTATTAATACCCTAATATAGGTCACGAAGGATAGAGTATATAAGGACACTTATTTAGTATTATATATTTAGTTCTTCGCAATTAATTATATATTATTACTTAGTTACTACCTTTAGTACTTTACGCTTTATAGTTTACCTTTAAGATAACCTAACCTATAAGTAGGGGATTCGCTTAGTAGTAATACTTCGTGATTAACTTACTTAGCGCGTACTTCTAGTACGTTCTATAAGATACTTAATAGGATCTATCCCGTAGTAAGGCTTTACGAAGTAATAGTACGATTAAGAGATACTCTTAGAATCTATATTTAGAACTAGGTAAGTATTAGCCGAAAATACTCTAACTTATAGTAACTAGTCGGTACCGCGTAATATATTAATCGCCTTATCTTTAAACCGTAAAGTAAAGTTATTATAGTAGGTAATAATAGTACGTCGCGAGGAAAAACTCCTTATCCTCCCGCGATACGAGAGGACGATTAGGAAGATAAAAAAGAAAAATAAATCTAGGAACTATAATAACTAGTTCGTACCCTCTAAAACGACTTAACCTATCTAGGAGGTAACTATAACGATTATATAGTAAGCGTAAAAGACTATATAGAGTAACTCTATATATAGGTTATCGCGTTAGTATTAATAACCGCTATTAGGGTACCTAAACTCCTAAAGGCTAAGACCTTTAATAGTACTCGATATAAGCTACGTAGATTCCTTATATAGATAGATATCTATATTAATATTAATAAAGGATAACTCTTTACGGAAGGAAGTAAGGTTATCTTTATATTAGCCTACTTACGAGGCTAGGTATAGGATTAGCTCGAACCCTATATTAGGGAATACTACGAAAAACCTAATACGGAATAGTTAAGTACTACCTAGGGTATCTTTAATAGCTATACTATATTTAGATAGTACTTAGAATATACCTTTAGGGATATTAATACGAAGAAGACGGCTAAACGGAAGCTAAAGCGTATCCGCTAGACCGGCTCGGCGTTAACCTATACGGCCGAATTTATATAACTTATAGCGATTCTTTAGTAGGAAGATTACGTATTAATTCCGTACTATAATCACGGACTTAAGCCTTATATTAAGGATAAACTTATACGAATCGACCGACCTAATACTATAGAAAAACTTATCGACGTTATAGTTCGTATCGATAACCGACTATATAATCGATAAATAGAGAAGCGAGAAATTAAAGGATAGAGACGAGATAACGGCTAATTATTATACTATCGCTATAATAAGCGACTAAACCGACCTATTAGGGATAACGATCCCTACGGATCACGACTAATAGAGCTCGATATAGCGAGACTCCTAGCCGAGAAAGAAAAACGGCGTAAGGATAATAACTTATACTTCGAATATAGAAAAGTAGGATATCGGGCGCGTAAGTATAATAATAGGCGTAATAACGTAAAGCTATAGACGTATAAGCGGAATAACGGACGTAATAACGTAAAGCTATAATAGCTAAGGGCGACTTAAGATAAGGTCCGACCCTAATAACTAAGGGCTACTAGTAATAAGATATAGATAGTAACGTAGGACGAGAAGTCTAAAGAATAACTTAGGGCTAATAAGACCGAGTACCTAAAAGACGCTATTACTAGGGCTACTCTAGATAAGTACGAGTACCTAAAGGACTAGGTTACTAAATAGATAATAGAGGAACTACTAGTCGGTAAGGAACCTAAGATTAAGTAACTACGAACCGCTACTATATAGCCGGAAAAGGAATACCGCGGCCTAAATAGCGTAGCGTATATAACGGAAAAGTCTCTTAGAGAAGAGGAGAATATCGAGAGTTAAGGATAGACCTAATATAGTCCCTAGAATACTATCGACTTCTAGGAACTATCTAACGATTCTTAGGATTAGGGAATAAGGATCCTAAGAATACTAATTAAGATTCTAGGAACCCCGGAGATCTTAGAAACTCTATCTTAGTCCCTAGAGGCGGATACGACTAAATAGCCTTAAGGAAACCCTATAGACGATTTAATTATCGAATATCTAAATTAAATCTACTAGGTATAAGGGCTTATCAAGACTAACTTCCTATCTACTAAAATACTACGGGAGCTTAGCGATATACTCGATAAACTCTAAGGAATTAGTAGCGGGATACGCAAATAATAGTAATATCCCTACTATAGTAACGAATATTTATATAGAGGGTACGCTCGTTACCCTAATTACGGTCTTAGAACCGTATTAGCGTATTACGACGATAATTATATAATATATTACTAAGGAAAAATTAAAAGAAGCCTAGAACTAAAGCTACTACGTTAGGAAAAGAAACTAAACTAGAAACTAGAATACGTAGGACTCTAGTTTAGAAACCGAAGGATAAATAAATAATACCTCGTAGCTACTATATAGGGCGCGTACGTAAAGATTATTACTAATATCGCGCTTCGATTAACTAAAGTAATAATCGATTTAGGAGCGGTAGGAAACTTTATAAGCCTATAATATAAATAGTAATATAAGATTAAAGGTATAGAGAAACTATAAATAATATCTCTTATAGGACTTAACGGAGAAAGTCTAGGGCCGGGTATTATGTATAAGAGTAGACTACTACTAATAGTTATTAGAGATTATTTCGAAGTTATTAACTTCGATATTACCCCGCTAGGTATATACGACGTTATACTAGAAGTACTATAGCTAAGGAAGTATAACCTAATTATTAACTAGTAGATTAGAAATATAGTCTTCGATAGATACTTATATCGATAGACTAGCGAAGTATAGACTAGAAAGATCGAACCGATACCGCTAAAGAGACCTAGCTCCGGGAGAGTAGGTACTTATAAGATCCCTTATAAAGGAAATTATAAAAGGAGTTCTCGGCTAGGAGGTAAGCCTAATAAACGAATAAATAATATTAGAGATATCGCTACTACTAAATAACGACTAGATATAATAAATAAAAAACTTAAAGAATACGTTCTTATTAATAGTAACGTAACTATCCTCTATATAATAGGATTACTAGAGGAAGAAAACTAAATCCCTAAGGAATATATAGAATTCTAGGATATATTTACGCTACTACTAGATAGTAAGCTATTAGAGTATAGTCCCTTCGACTATAAGATAAAGATTAAGGATAGCTAAGAACCGAAGTTTATACTAATTTACCTACTATTATAAAAGGAGTTAGCGGTACTAGACGAATATATTAAGGAAAACCTTAAAAGGGATAATATCTAATACTCGAAATTATTAGTAGGATACCTAATCCTATTTATACTAAAGAAGGGAGGAGAACTTAGAATATATATTAACTACTAATAACTTAACGATATTACTATTAAAGACCGATACCTATTACCGTTAATTAACGAAATTTAAGATATTATTTAAGAAGCGAAATACTTTAGTAAGTATAATATTACTAATATATATAATTAACTTAGAATTAAGGAGGGAGACGAATAGAAAACGGTATTTAGGACTAAATTTAGGTATTTTAAATATAAGGTTATACTATTCGGACTTACTAACGTATTAGTATCGTTTTAACGATTTATCTTCTATATCTTAAACGGATATCTTAATAAGTTCGTTATTATATACCTCGATAATATCCTTATATTTTTAAGGACTAAGGAAGAGTATATTTAGTATAATAAAATAGTACTATAGCGGTTAAGGGAAGTAAGAGTTATACTTAAACTTAAGAAATACGAGTTTTACGTTTAGAACACTAGCTTCCTCGGATATACTATTAGCCCTAATAGACTAAGGATAGAAGAAGATAAAGTTAGGAGTATACTCGAATAGCCGATACTAATATACGTTAAGGATATATAAAGCTTTCTTAGACTCGCTAACTACTACCGAAAGCTAGTACCGTAATACTTAAAATATATAGTAGGACTATACCGATTTACTAAGAAAGGAGTACTATTCTAGTAGGATAACGAAGCGGAGAAATCGTTTACCGCGCTTAAGGAGATATATAATAAAAAGATAGAGGAGGCTATTATTATAACTTTTAATTACGACGTACTAATTATTATAGAAACCGACGTATCGGACTTTGCGCTAGGAGCTTAGCTTATATAACTAGGACGAGATAATAAGCTTAGACCTATTACTTTCTAGTTACGAAAAATAATACTAGCGGAATTAAATTATAATATCTACAATAAGAAACTATTAGCTATAGTATTAACGTTTTAAATATAGAGAGTATACT